TAGCCTCGTTAATGTCATCACCATCACCATGATACTCACAATAAATATGAAATTTAAATTGTTCCTATATAAAGGTAATGTAGCAGATGTACTGTGATGCAAATTACACATATTGTTTTCTTAGTACACTTCTTATCGATGCGAACTGGGTAAGGATCGACGTAAGGTAGCTGTAACACACTAACGTTGAAGGAATTCTATACTTACTTCCCCTCATCTCTCTCCCTCCCTCCCTGCCTGCTCCCTTTCCCAAGACAAATATGTAGACGCCCGCAGACTGAAAGCTCGTGCCCTTACGTTCATCATCAGTTTTATTTCCTTTTCAAACACCTATGGAGCCCTTGCCTTCGTAAATGGCACCGTGAGCTGCAATGGTAGTCCATATGCTTTAGTTTGTAAAATTTAAACCCATTCCGCAGTCAAAAATAGTCGATATATGGTTACTTCCCATCGCTTTTTCCTCACCATTGTTGTATACAGGAATCGAGGTGAGCGTTACTTTGAGATTCACATTTTATTCTACATAATCCGAGACATGTAAATATCAAACCATTAGCAAAAGTAATATGAAATTGATACACCATGATCCCCTGACTACAGAGAGAGCAATTCCAAGTACGATTAGTATGGATTCCTTCTCACACTGGAATATTGTTACATAATACTGTTAACACCTTGCAAACATTTCCTGTGAGCGAGGCTATGCTGATACACGTGTCACCATCCTGTTGTAGAAAAAATCTATTATCAATAACATTAAATGCAATGACAATTAAATAATACCTTCTCAAAGATTTAAGTCCCAAATAATTCTAGATGTCTTAGTATTGCAGTTGGAAACGAAAGGTTAACAGGGAAGTGAAATGTGGGTTCTGTTCGAAATGCAATTAGTTTATGTTTTCTTTAGTAAATTACTGCAGTTATGGAGAAGAGGAACATGTTATATTATCATATTGCATTAGTAATATGAAAGATGATGATGATGATGATGATGATGATGATGATAATGATGATGATAAACATGATAAGGATAATGATGACGATGGCGATGATGGTGATGGTGATGGTGATGATGATGATAATGATAATGATAAAGATGATGAATGATGATAATGATGAGATAATGGAATGATAATGATAAAATTGATGATTATAATGATGATAAAGATGATGATAATGATAATGACAGTGGTAATGAAAATTATTAAGTTGATGATAATGATGATGATAAAGATAATGATAAAGATGATGATAAGGATGATGATAATAATGACAATAACGATAATGATTTTGATAATGATAATGAAAATGATAAAGATTACTAAACCATTACCATCAACATTTTCCTTATTATTAATAATAATACCATCTAAACACCACTGCCATTATCATACTTCACAACAGACCGAAAACCACAGAATCACAGATTACCCCAAGTACCCAAAATATTGACCAACTACCACACAAACCATTCAATTAGCCAGCCAAACGAGACACGATTTTATCAGCAGAACTTACACCAGAGCAGAAGGGGCACGGCAGAGGGGCGAGAGAGCGAGACAAGCAGACGCAGCAGTGTGTGAGGAGATTCCGTGCATACAAAGCGCTGCAGTAATTCCTCTCGACACACACCGTCTCACCTGCAGCGGGGAAGGGGGAAGGGGGAGGGTGAGAGGGGAAGTGTTGATGATGGGTTGCGTCATTTGTGCTTTGTTTTTGTGCATTCATTTTGGTTTTCATTTGATTATTTTTTTGGACATTATCATTATTGTTATTATCATTATCATTATGACTACTATTACTACTACTATTATTACTACTACTACTTCTATTACTACTACTTTTACTTCTATTAATACTACTACTACTAACTCTAATACTACAACTACTACTACTACTTCTATTACTACTACTACTACTTCTATTACTACAACTACTACAATCATCATGATAATTGACATCACCACATCATTATCTTTATCACTGATTTTATCTATATATTTTTAAAACATATATCAGGGAAATTAGCATATTTACATATACCTATTATTTACATGTACGGCTAACGATTATTCACAAGCAGAACATTCATGAACAGATACATCTGTAGTCAGACACAAGCACTCACGCCACAGGTAAACAAACAGACATTTAAAAAGTAAAGATGAATATCTGAAACAAATAACTGTGCATAAATACCATTTGCCTATTTAGGTACGAGTAAAGCACAACAAAATAGGATTAAGAAACAATAATTCAAAGGAGAGTATATTTTACCTGGACTGATGTCTCTCTCTGCTACCAGGTATCTTCCCTGCGAGGGAGCGAAAGCTACTCTGACATCCTTACTGAACGCAGGTATGGTTGGATGGGGATCTGGCAACACTGGCGTCTCGGAACACAGGGTGTCAGAAAGTTTCTCATATTTGTCGTTTGTAGATATTTTTCCATTTTCTTCTTCATCCCTTAATCTAGCGTGACATTTGGCCCTCCGCTCGTG